CCCAGGATTCATGGGGCGGCCGCAGGGCCTGGCACCCTCTCCAGGACCATCAGCTGCAGAGAATCCAGCCGCCCGCTGTCCACCTCCTCCCTGCCCAGACCCAGGGTCATTCCCACTCAGGGTGATGCAGGCTGGGGGTGGCCTGTGCTCAGGGCCAGTGCGACCTGGAGGTGCAGCAAGAGTGACCCCCCTGCGTGGGGCGCCGACGGCAAGGACATGGCCACGGGCCAGTCCCCGCAGGGGTCAGGCGCTGCCCACCCTGCTCGCTGAGAGCCTCTCCGCGCCTCCCACGTGGCTTATGAAGGGCGGACCAGGGGGCCCTTCAGGCTTTGGAGCTGGGTCCCCGCTCGCTCAGGCTGGCCACCCCGGGGCCACCCCACACCCTGCCCAGAGGGCCGCCCGGAGGCGACTCCCGGCCCGGGGCCACGCCGCTGCGGCCAGGGACAGCAGCCCCAGAAGGCCGCCGGCAACGCTTTGCTTCTTCCAGGCCTGGGTCCTGGTGGCCGGTCCCCTCGGGCCGTGTCCTCCGCAGTCACCCCGGGGTGTGTGGGGTCGGGGCCCCCGCCAGGCAGCCCTGCCCCTCAGGCTTCCCACCCCAGCAGCCCTGCCGGGGCGGACCTCCATACTGGCCCAGGCCTGGACAGCGGCTGCCTGTGAGTTGCCACAGCCTGCCCTACACACACCCCGGGAGGGGCCGCCAGCCGCCGCGACCGTCAGTGGTGTCCGGGCCCCCCATGCTGCGCGGGGTCACTGGACGTGCTCTCGGAGCCCCTACCAATAAAGGCTGGCACCTGGCAAGGCTGTGGGGTCCCGCGCCGGGCGGCAGGGTGGAGGCGGGCGGCCTGGCGGGCACAGGGCCTGTGTGCGCGGGGCGGGCGCTGTCCCCTTCACGCCGGGCTCCTGTCCAACCCTTCAGGGGGTCCGGGATCCTGCCAGGTAACCTCTGAGGTGTTCCGGGGGCGCCCCAGTGCCTCACCCCACCCCACGGGGCGCCTGGCCCAGAGGGCACTCGGCCCAGCCCCCTCCGCCTCCGGCAGAGTCCAGCACGCCCCGGCCCCGGCTTCACAGGCATCACTGGAGCCCAGAGACGGCGGCGGCGCCCACACCGGGCGGCCCCAAGGACACTTTATTCGGGCGCTGTGACCGCAGCAGTCTGCTCAGGCGGCCATCGCCAGGCCTGGCCCCCGCGAGCCCGACGGCCCCCAGCACGGCCTGGGGCGGGCACTCGGTTCCTGGGAGGGACGCCCCCGGGTGGCGGCACCGCGCCCCTGGACCCCTCAGGACACTGCGCCCCACTGCCCTCCTGAGCCAGGGCGGCCCCGCCCGGCACCTAGCTCCGGCCCAGCGAGGGCGAGGCCTCCGGACGGGCGCGGGCGGCCTCACACGTCGCTGTAGGAGGAGAACACGGCTCTCTTCCGCCTGGCTGGCCGCCGGGGCTGCGGGCGCGGGCTTCTGGCCGCCGGCTTCACGGGCTTGATGCTCTTCTCCACCAGGTGCCCTGGGTGGGGGCGGTCAGGCCAGT